CCGAAGCTTCGGCTTCGGCAGAGTGACTTCGGCTGAAGCTTCGGCTTCGGCAAAATCTTAGCTTCGGGACATCCCTAGTAAAAAATATTAATTGGGATTTATAAACTGAAGTTTTTTTATAAAAAAATACTTATATTGTACATAAAAAATACATAAAAAAATTTTCCACCTTTTTTATTAACATTCTTTTTTGCCATATAATCCTGATCGAACTAATTAAGATATCGGTCAACATCTGGTAGGTTAGGAATTGAGTGTTATTTCACATCTATTAGACGGAAATGATAAACAAAAAGATTACACACATAAAACATAAAAAGATTTATTTTGATCGCATAAAAAGATTTATTTTGATCACGGTAAATAAACAAGTAGCTATTGTTGTGGAAATGAATGTGTAGTGGACGCTTTTTTTAACTGTTCATAGTTAAGGTATCCTCACGTTTTAGACGCTTACTAACTAATACCATTGGTAAATCTGTGAAATGCACAAAAATTTTCATCTTTGAAAATTTTGGTGCATTTGATTCAAATTTTGCTTCATCTTTAAATTTCTCCCTACTTTGATTAGTTTGAACTTCATTTATTTTTTTTTACACGCAGTTCCAAAGCTTTAAATTGCTTTGACACATCACTTTTTAACTGCTCAATGGTAAACAATTTTTTAATAGAGGAGGATGGGTAGGAGTGAGCCACAGATAAGAGTAAATTATTGATTTTACTAAGTAATAAGTGGGAATATGTTGTTAAGACAATCAGGGCCAACGACACCGGGGTGGCCAGGGGTCTCCCCCTCACTTTTTTTCTAAAGAACCTCTTTTTTTTTTTTTTTAGAAAATTCTACGATTGTACCCCCCCCCCCGCCCACTTCGAAGCCCGTGTTGTCGGCCCTGACAATATAATTTTTTTACTTTATTTTAGTTCGGGTGTTTGCTTTAGTGGTGTACAGGGCCGGCCTAAGTGACGGGCGGACCTGGCACGCAGAAAAATAGAGCGCGCATTATATTTATGTGTATTCCCGACGGGAATGTGTTTTTAAAAGTTACGTTCTAAATGTATTTTAAATGTCTTTTAAACGTTTTTTGCGTAAGAATGTTTAGAAGATGTTTAAAAGACATTTAAAATACATTTAGAACGTAACTTTTAAAAACACATGCCCGTCGGGTTACTTAATGATCTTATTTCATTTTAAAGTTATTATTTAATGATCTTATTTCATTTTTAAAAGTTCCTAATTCAAAATACTACAATTAAAATTATTTTTGTTTATAAAAATGCAAATCTGGGTCGTAAAAGTTATTAGGTAATATATTTTTTGCCGAATTGAAAATATTCAAGTGTTGTATTTCAAAATTTGTTTTTTGTTTAGCCATTTGAAAAAAGAATTAATTTTAGAACGATTGCTTGATAAAAATTTATGCACAACTTATTTTTGTATTAAATTGATTAATTTAAGAGTCCATTAAGTCTGCAAATAAACCATCGGGTGCAGCAAACCGAAAAAGACAATTTGAGTTTAAACAAGAAAATGAAGTCTGCAAACTTTTTTACAAAAAATTTTCAAGTAGAGTCCAGGCAAAGTTAAGAAATTGGTTGCCCTTTGTCATTAGTTGTAGTAATTCGTTTTTAGGCGAGAAAATCGAAGAAACTCTTGAAGAAAGTAGACAGCTCGAAACAACATCTCAGTCTCCTATTTCTACTCTACTGGTGACGTTCAAATACATATAAATGATCCTGGACTACGGCCAGTTCCTCTTAATTCTAAAATTTGTGATCACATAATTTATGTAGGAATAGATGTTGAATCTCATCTAACAAATGTTGTTGAATTTCCAGGAGATAACAACAATCGTTGTTTTTTGAAATTATTAATATACAGAAAATTAAATAACGGTGAATCTTGTTTGCGAACCTTGGTTACTATATTCACCAAGTTCTGATAAAGTGTTTTTGTTTGTTGTAAACTTTATTATTCATATAAAACAAAATCATCATTAGCCACTGTTGGAATCAATAACTGGAAACACATTACCGAATATATAAAATCGCATGAAAATTCACCCGAACATTTAAAATGTTTTGGTAAATGGTTTGAAGTCGTAGGCTTAAAATAAATAAAACAATTGATGCAAAAGATTTTAGTATAATTCTAGACTGCACCCTTGATGTCAGCCATACTGAACAACTCTCCTTTACATTAAGATTTGTTGATACTTTAAGCGATGAGATAGAGATTAAAATTAAAAAACATTTTTTAACTTATCAAACTGTTTAAAAATTCACTGGACAATCTTTATTTAAAAAATCTAAATTTAAACTTAATGCATTGTAGAGGACAAAGATATAATAATGGTGCAAATATGAAGGGTAAAAATAAAGGCGTGGATGTCACTCTCTAAATTTAGTTATAAGTGACTGTGCATGTATTGAGCCTATATCATTTGTATTGAGCCTATATCTTTTTTCGGAATTGTCCAACGAATATATACACTGTTTCCAGCTTCAGTATCGAGGTGGAACAAACTGAAAGATCATGTACCCAATTTTACAGTTAAACCTCTTTGTGAAACTAGATGGGAAAGTCAAATTGAATATTTAAAACCAATACGCTACCAAATAGTGGAGATTTACGATACTTTAGTAACTTTGAGTAAAACAGACTCTTCTGATATTTCCATTAAACACGAAGAATTAAAATTGGCATCCATCCTTTTGCATAAAGATATTCTTGGACGTCCTCTAAATATCTTGAACTTTATAAAATCCAGTGGATTGCAAAATGAGGTTTCAAATATTTGGATTTCATTAAGAATAATGCTTACCATACCAATTACAATTGCAAGTGGTAAGAAAAGTTTTAGCAAATTAAAGCTAAGAAAAAACATTTTATGACCTTCTATGAGTGACAAATGATTGAATAACTTAGCTATATTGTCCATCGAAAATGAAATAGCAACACAATTAGACATAACCGAAATAATTAAAAACTTTGCCGATTTAAAGGTTAGAAAAATAAATTTTTAGTATTGAATTAAGTTTAAATTGGTTCCTGTTTAATTTAATAAATAAATGATTTATAATTTATAAAAATGCATAATACATAAAGGGCGCAATTTGAATCCGTGCCCGAGGCGCTAGAATTCTTCGGATCGGCACTGGCGGTGTGTTCCACTTTTTTCGGTGCAAAAGTAAATTTTTGGTATTTTTTGAAAGTTCTTTAATAAACACATTTGCTATCATATATTATAGAAAAATAACTAGTAAACAATTTAGTACCTATATCAAATTGTTTTTTTTTCATAAATAAACCACGTACATATTGTACATACAACACTTTAATCCAGTTGTACAGCTTGGGAAGAAACGAGTCATTCCTTTATGGGTAGTAAACTACGGCTCACTTATACTTAGTGTAAGTTTACGTTCAAAATGTGTTGTCTTCTGCGTAAAAAAATTATCAAGTTTGACTTTAGGTATTTCAAGTTACAATCCCTTAAGAAGAACTACTTTAAAAGCAAAAACTTCTATTTAAAATGTGAAAAAAGCCTTGATTTTAATCCAAAAAGGAAAAAGTATTAAAGATACAGCAAAAATGTCCAACATTCCATATGCAATGCTTCGTCGTCATTGGATAAAAATGCTAATTGATTAAATATTAGATTGACTTCAAACTATTATAATAAAAGATTATTCACAGATGAGCATGAGTGGAATATCTTCTGAAGGAATATATTCTGGCTTGCTCAAGAATATACTATGACCTTCCAACAAAAGAATGTCAACGTAAAGCTTTTGAGATGGCAACTATTAATAAAATTAGTATTTAACAAAAGTAGTACAAGGACTCAATGGCAGGCATTAAATAGATTTTAGAAAACAACATCCACATTTGTCATCTTTCCCTAAAAAAAAAACACCTGAAGAATGTTCTTTTTTTAGGGCAACATCATTTAATGCCTAAAATGTAGCCATATATTTTGATACATTAAAAGAAGTTCTTGGATTTTCAACCTTGATGAAACTGGAACTGTTACTGTGCAGAATCCACAAAAAGTATGGTAATTTTTAATAAATTATGTATTTTTATTAGTTTGATTTTTGTTAACTACTTGACTTTAAGGTTCTTACAAAGAAAGGAGTTAAAAGTTTCTGCAAAATTACAAGTGCTGAAAGAGGAACTCTTGTCACAATTTGTGTAATAACCAGTGTTTCTGGCCAATATACTAGTACTTATTTTTCCTACTAGTACTTATTTTTCCACAAGAGCATTTCAAGGAGCATATGTTGTCAGGAGCTTATTCTGGATCTCTCAGACTTGCATGTAAAACAGGCTGAATGAACAGTGAAATCTTTTTGGATGTTTTAAATCACTTTATAAGATTTTTATCGAGCACAAAAGAAAATCCATTGTTACTAATATACCACAACTGCAAAGCTCACTAATCCATAGCAGTATTAAATAAAGCAAAAGAGCATAGAGTGACACTTTAACATTACCACCTTATTTCACATACAAGTTACAGCCTCATGATGTGGGTGTTATGGGACTATTTAAAACTGCATATAGTGCAGCAATTGATTCATTGATGCTCCACAATCATAGAAAAAAATTTACCATTTACCAAGTAGCTGCATGTGTATGGCTTGCTTTTCAAAAAATATGTGTGTGTGGGTTTTTTTTAAAAATATTTTATTCATCAAATTGAGTTTGCCAAAGTGTAACGAGAGTTTTATTTTATAAACGTATTTTAAAGTATTATTTTTTGAATTTTGGGTTCATTACATATAGCGGTCAAAAGTTGAAAAAGTTTTCAAAAACGTCATTTACACGGTTTTTTTTTTTTGAAATGTCAATATGAACACGTACAATTAAACTTCCATTTTTGAATTAAAAGAGATTAAAACAATTTTGCATTTTAAAGCAACCAAAAATAACAGAAAATAAAGAACATTTGTTTAACATATATTTTAAATAATAAAACATTTTTTAAATAATGAAGAATATTTTTAGTTAGTTATTGTGTTTATTATATAAAGCAAAAATATATTAAAAAAATGACATTCAGCATTTGCGAATGGTTTTGGTTTCTACAGGCAAAAGCTCTTAAGAAACTCAAGCTTTCGGCCGTTCGCCTTATTTATCTTGTTAAGTCAACAAACTCATTCAATCACCTCTGAGGTTTAGAAAAGTAATCGAGGTATTTTGACAGCTTTTTTGCAGTCATTCCAAGATTCAAATGAATATTACTTTTAACCATTTTTTTTTATTATTCTATCTAATTCATGACGACGGCCTTTTAATTGCAAGCCATCTTTTTCATAAATACAATATAATAAAGAGAAAAAATAACAATCCATGAAACTGAATGTGTATGCTTTAAACTAAAGAAGAAACTTATAAGAAATCATTTAAAATAAAACCAATATTGGCAAGATGTTTTCAAATTTTTTTGTCGATAGTTTATCTCTGTGGTGTAATTACGGAACTTTTTTTTGAAAACCAGTATTTATATCAGACTTAAATTTTACAATTATCTAGTAAGATTTTAATTCTCCTTTAACTTTCTTTTGCCAGATGATTGCTGTATTTTTTGTAAATCTCCAAAATTATTGCTTACACAGTAGTTATAAGCTTTAATTGCTTCGTAAGCCTTTTTGTGATCTTTAAGAGTTTTAAAAATTAATTCTAATGCATCATAGGCATCTTTTCTTAAATTTACATTTACGTGACATAAAAAACTAGCTAACTTCATATTAAAATATTGTCCTGTATAGCCAATAGTTATAATTCCATAAAGTTCTATATTATCAGTTTTGGCCCAATTTTCATAAAAGCATTCAACATGGTGTTTGTTTAACAATTTATTGACAAAAAGATGCGCGTACAATGTGCATATATATGTTTTACAATTACCCTTTTCATTAAATAACTTGTCAAACTCCTTATCATCACTTAAGTTTAAATTTTCAATTTTTTGTTTAAAATATACTTTTTTTTGGTTAATCTCTTTTAAATCAAAATAGTAAATCCCAAGACTCGGAGAATAATTTTCAAAAGAATTATATGTTTTGATACCCCAAAACACTTTTTTAGCAAAATTTTCATTTAGATGTCCATTTCCAAATTTAATTTCAATTTCTCTTTCCTTAACAAGGAACAAACGGTTGTCTCTAACAATTACCGCATGCTGCAGCTTTTCAGCAAAAAACAATATATTTTTTATTGCTTGAAACTTATTATATTCTATTAAAGGGTTTTCGTCAAAATAGTTATTGACGATTAAAGATTGCCATTCCGAACTCAAAACCACTATTAAATAACAAATGAACTCTTGGTTAACCTGTTGCATCAAACTTTGCATTGCATTATCGTATTCAGCTGATAAATTTATTGTTTGCAAGACATAAAAGCAGTTTTTCCTAACAGTATCATCTTCATCCGTTAAACTTTTGTATATTTCTCTTAATGCCAAAACTGCAGCTTTTCTATTATTATTCCAAAGTTTTGCTCGTTCTATTAAAAAATCTGCCAACCGTTTGCTAAAAAGCTTCCCGGTATAACCTATTGCTTCAATTCCTTCATTAAGTGCCCAATAATCATATTCGCCAGTATGCTTCTTAGCTTCTTCTTCCAACAAATCTACGTCATTTTTTACTATTAAATTGTTTTGTTTTTTATATCTAAACTCTTGAGCAATTGAGTTAAATTTTTGATTAATACTTGTTTTGACAACGGTATTTATGTAGTTTATAATAGGTAACTCATTTCCATCGTCATCGTCTTTAATAACATTTAATTGATTTTGTGACAGATTAACGTTAAGTACATACCTAATATACTTTGAGAAATTTTTGTTTTCTATGCTACGAAAAAAATATTCAAATTCTCCTTGAAATTGTTTTTTAACACGTTTTTCCAACATTTCTTCTTGCTCCATTTTTTTCTCTATGAACTCATCGAAAAAATGACTGAATACTCTTACAGCTCCTGCACCAATTACATCATAATTTTCTTCAAATGCATCCCAAAATGACAACAAATTGGTTTCTTTTTTATATCCTGGAATCATTGGGCCTCCCACAAAACTAAACTGAGCAACTATTGAAAATATAAATTGAAATTTTGGGTTATAGCAGTTTTTGATAACTAACTTTTTAACTAAATTAAACAAACAACCTTTTTCATTTAGAAGCCCTCTTATTATTGCAAGTGCTGAATAAAATTCCTGATAAGTTTCGTGATTGAAATAAATCTTTATACCAACATTGTTTTCAGAAACTTTTAATAAACCTGTATCTTCGAGCGTTTTAAATGCCCCTATTTCAAAGTTTAACATTTTTGTATACTTTGTGATATCCTCCTTAATGCTAAAGGATTGCTTAAGTGCATACAATTCCATAATATGATTATATGTTCCCATTAAATTAAATGTCATACTTTTATCGTAGAGTTTTTCAGACTTGACACTTAAGTGTTTTTCTAAAAACAAGATTGATTTAGATCTAATATACTCTTGAAACAAGTTGACAGTATTGCTTATATCTAGATTTTCGAAGTTAATTTTGCATTTTTCTGGCACTTGGTTATTATTTTTGACAATAAAATTCAAAATATGTGGTTGCAGTAACTCACAAAATAGAAAACTTTCTAACGGTATACCAAGAGTTTTGAAAGAATTTTTATTAAGTTTGGTTGTTGAAAAACATTCAACTTTTTCGACTAATGCGTTTAGCGCTTTTTCTGATGGTTCAAATTTTTTTAAAACAGCTGTAATATATTTTTTAATATACTCTTTCTGTTGTTTTTTAGTATACTTTGTTAATTTATAGATGGCGAATCTTTCGGATGGTATCAAAAATTTATTTGTAGCATATGGTCTTGAAGTAACTAAACATGAAATTTGTAATTCTCTAAATTTTTGTTGAAAAATATCATTTATTTTTATAATTGTTCTAGCATCTTTTACTTCATCAAAACTGTCCAAAATGAGCAAAACCATTCCTTTAATATGCATATCTGCTTGAAATGCTTTTTTTTCCCAGCAATGATGTATATTCAAAAAAGGTTCAAATATAGGCTGATTTTGATTATCAAATTCTAGAAGAGGTAATGGTATATAAACAACCCAAACTGGATTTGATATATTCTCATATTTTTTATGCTCATCTATTATGTTTTTACAGAATGAAGTTTTTCCGTAACCTGCAGGTGCCAACAATATTGATAATCGACCACCATTACTTATATCTTTTGTAAAGTTCTTTTGTGGACCTCGACTTGAATAGTCTACGCCTTGTGCAAAAGATAGATAAACGTTGCTTGGATTTTCAGCTACTGTTAATTTTTCCGTTGAAGAAGATTCAACAGGCTTTAATAAGAGATAATTTGTTTTATTAAAATTTGAAGGTTTAGCTGTTAAAATATATACTTTATTAAAATTATCATTGTTTAAATTATGATTGCGAGACTCAAGCTCTGAAAACAAGTTGTGATGTTTGAATAAAAAAAAGTCTGATTCTTTCCATTTTTTAAAATCAGTTTCCATATTTTTAATTTCAGCAAATATTTCCGGATTTTCTTTAAACAAATTTTTCAGTTTATTTAAAAGATGGTTATACTCTACACCTTTTATAATATAAAAGGAAACTTTTTTTCTCATAATAATAGATAAATCGTAATATCCTTTGCCATAACTCATTTCGTTTTCTATATATATACCATACGGCATTCCTGATTCAGCAGGAACTTGATAATCATGCGCATGTTCTGTTATTTGTGAAAAGTATTGAATTTTCTTCATTATTTTGTAAATACTACCTAGCCTTTGATTAATAATATATTTTATTTTATATTCTTTTCCTGCTAGTGTTATATATTTATTTTCATATTTGTTATATAAGATTTGAATTTGTTCATCTGACGGTGGTTCAAGTAAATTTTCTTGAAACTTCGTTTTTGATAAATATTTTGAAATGTCAAGTTTCGTTTTTGTTAGGATAATGACTTTCATAGATCCAATATTATTAAAAATATTACCAAAATTCTGAACTTGCTGTTGAGTAAATACATCAATATTTTGAATGTTTATTACTACAAATTTTACTACACTACTTTGAAATACTACGTCAATATCACGTATTTTATCATTGTAGTCAATATAAATCCATTCATCATGCTTTAAATTTTTTAATTCTTTAATTGTTATGTAAACTATTGGTCTTGCATTGCTGCCTATAATTACCTGAACATTTTGTTCAGATGTATTTGGAGCTTTTAAAAAGTCTAGTAATTTTTTGTTGATAAACCCTTGAAAATCTAACAAATGGTCATTAAATTCTTCTTCAAATATTTTGGTGACATGAGAAAAAAAAAAGCGACTCATGTCTGCATTTTGTAAAATCTTGAAGTTTTTAAAGTTTTTGCTCGTTAAGACACAAGTTTTCATATCTTTAAACCAATTAAGCATAAACTGTATGACTCCAGTAAATGTTTCTTGAACTCCAATGTTAACCTGGCTACCTATTTCATGCTTGACAATTTCAAACAACTGATCAACATTCGGCTGATTAGTTTTAATAATAAATTGGTCCAAAAATTCTTCTATGTCTGTATCATCAATAAATTTTTTTTTTTCTTCAAAGTTTTCTTTATTTGTAATTTTTGAATGCTTTTTTATTGCCTCTATGAAAACATTTCTATTTTTCCCTTGCACAATTCTATAATTTGGAGTAGCAAGCAAAGAGGAAAATGCAAACTCGTCATTTTCAATTTGTATTTCTTCAATATACTCATCCATTTCTTTGAGCTTTTTGTTTGAAAAGAATATAAACTTTGCATACTTACGTTTTTCATCTCGAAGCTTTAAATATGGCAGTTGACGTATAGCTGACCATGAATCATAATATACAGCTAAGCTAGCATCGCCATTTTCACTTAAAAAATCCTTTTTAGAAAAATAGGCTGTTTTTTCCGAATGTTTTGCTTGCAATACAGTAATGTGATCCCCATAGTCAATAACCAGATCGTCAAACTTTTCAAATTCTTTCGCTTCTGTTATTAAGTAGAAGCTTTTTTCTGAGCTATTTGCTCTAACTGCAGAAAGCGTTAAAAGGCCTAATTGAAATATACATCCGTGAAACGTTTTTTTTAATCCACCCCAAGTTAAATCTTTATATTCATTGCTAAACATATTGAATTCGCCGTCTGTAATCGTATGCTTACTCTCCATTTTCTGTAATCATAAAAAGCATGAAATATATTTCATAAACTATTGACTAAAATATTGAAGCAAATAATAAATTTTTTTTAATTTTTAGGCTGGGAATTGATTTGGGTTCCAGATGGATCCGATGTAGTGTAAAGATAATGCCGCAAATGAGTGACGAATCCAGGAATTTTTTTTTAAGGAGGATGAGGGGGGGGAGGGAGGAAAGGGGTGCTTCCCCCTGAATTCATCACTTCCTCAAATTAAATCTGGGTTTTTACTGGGATTGGCATAGGAAATCCGTGAATGATTTGCGGCTGGTTAGAAGATGGGATGCAAAGGTAAATGATAAAATTAAAAACTTATTCTGAAGTTTGAAGTTTTGTATTAATTGATGACCGGAATATAACAAAATAAATGTTTGCCTTAATTTTTCAACACTTTTTAATACAAACTATTTTTTTAACTTATTGCCTGCCCAAATCGAAACACTTAGTCGATGTATGTTAACAACAGTCATAAACATTAAGCATAAAACTAGAAATAAAAACTTTAAAATATAACTTAAAAGTACACACAAAAACATATTCGCTCAAGGGGAATTGATCCCACGTCGCCAAGCGACTAGGCAAAATTATTAGCCACAATACTGCACAATATGTATTTACTTCGTAGTAAATTATAAATATATATTTTGTTTTATACGCTATGTATTTATTTAAAACAATGATATATTTTCGGTTCATCAACTTACACAAAACTTCAAACGTCGGAATAGGTTTTGATTCTATCATCTACCGGATGCAAATGGCATTAAGTTGTATAAAGCGCATTAATATTTGGTCTGACATACAGTGTTGGAAAAATAAAATAGGACAAGAAAAATTGCTGCCTAGCTAGTAATAATGGTGCATTAATAACGGTACTCTTTTTAACGGTACTGTTTTCATCTGAATTGTTCGACACAACCAAATAAATGTTGGACAATTTAGATGACAAAACTGACTCATTTGTATATTTTGAATCATTAAAATTAGACATGTTTGATTTTTTTGTTATGCCGAAATATGTAATGGGAAAAATTTTTTTTTATTAAAAATGTCTTAGAAATCGTCCATAAATTCAATCACGCTCTAGGGGGAAGGGGGGTTTGTGGTTTTGTGACGACTCATACTTAAGTTATGTTACTAAAGTTATGATTTTGTGATGAGGAGGGGAGGGGTAAAAAATTGTCAAAAAGTGCATAATGTAATGTTTATGGACAAACCCTTATTTAATTCTAATTTATGATTTGTTTTGTAAGATACTAATAATTTTCTGAAAGCAAAACACTTTTTTTTTTTCCAAAAAAATATTTTATGATATATTTAGGAGCAAATTCTATATTTTAGCAATCATGACTCCAGCAAAGCAATATTTATATTATGAGCAATATAATCAACGAAAACTTATTTTGGATTTAGTTACAGAAAATAAACATACAGAACTATTGAAAATGAGAATGGAGTTCCACGTTCCACCATTTCAATCCGAAATCGTTTACATGATAATGGGTTTAAAAGCTACACACTACATAAAAAACCATTTTTGACACAACAACATAAAAAAAAACCCGATTATTTTTTACTAAAACTTATGTTAATATGCCAATTTCATTTTGGAAGCAAATACTGGGGTCGGATGAATCCATATTTAATTTGGTACATTGTGATGATAAACAAAATATTTGGAGAAAAACTAGTGAAGCTTACCGTTTAAGTTGCATGCAAGGAACCGTAAAACATCCCTTACAAAAAACCCCGTGAACTTCCAGCGAAAGTTCGCTGGAAGTTCGCTGATCACTGGAAATTCACTAAGATCACTGGGTTTTCAGCAAAGTTGGCTGGATTTCTATAAAAACAAACGAATTCGCTGGAAGTTTGCTGGAAATCTAAAGAAAAACTTCACTAGGTTTCCAGTGATCTTAAAGTTCGCTGGAAGTTTACTGGGTTTCTGCGAGTAGTTAAAACTTGGAATATTGATAATATATCTTCTTGAAATAATATTTCAAATTTTTGTATAGAAGTAATCCTTTTATTTTTTAAAAGTAATCCGTTTATTATGCATTATTGTTTATTATTAAGCAAATTCAACTTTATAATTTTATAAAAATTATTTTTATAAATGTTTTTATGATTAAGTATTTTATATTAAAAGTAATAAATGATAGACTGTTTCTCTCCCTCACTGAGAGAGAGGGATATATATAATATATATCCCTCTCTCTCTCAGTGTATATATACATATATATATATATATATATATATATATATATATATATATATATATATATATATATATATATATATATATATACACACATATATATATATATATATATATATATATATATGTATATATATATATATATATATATATATATATATATATATATATATATATATATATATATATATATATATATATATATATATATATGTGTATATATATATGTGTATATATATATATATATATATATATATATATAAATATATATATATATATATATATATATATATATATATATATATATACATATATATATATATATATATATATATATATATATATATATATATATATATATATATATATATATATATATATATATTTCTGAAAAATGAAGCCGATTTTTAATTTTACCTGCTTATCTCTTTTATTTTAGATGCCAAGAATTGGTTTCTACAAGAAATGGCAATCATTTCAAGAACGACTCGTTGGAGGTTGTCAAAACTTGGTTGTGCTCAACAAGAGGATGAGAGCAACTCTGATGAAAATGATTCAATTGATGAAGATTTTGTAAATCAATTATCTGGCTTAGAAGAACCAAAAAATGAAATAAATTCTAATGAGTTTAAAGAAAAAGAAAGTTCAGAGAGTTCACCTCTTTATCCTGGCTCTAAAATCAATGTCTCTAATGCATGTTTATGCATAATGACTTTTGTTTTGCGCTTTAAATTGTCTTATGAAGCCTTAGAAGCATTGTTATCACTCTTATCTATTTTGTTGCCACACAGTCTTTTACCGACATCTAAATACTTGTTTTTGAAGTTTTTTAAAAAGGAAAAAGAGTTGAATGAAATTTTTTTTTTTTGTGACATTTGTGAAGTTGCTTTAAGTACTAATAAGCAATGTACAAAATGTTTGAAACATTTTACATTATCCTATCTTTGAAAGAAATGCAATTATTTTCATATTTTAAACAAACAGTTTAAAAATACGTGTGATAACAATTGGATACATTTAGCAAGTCTTGAAGAAAATGCAATAATTAGACTTGTTGTTAATACAAATAAGTTCCTGTTTTTAAATCATCAAAGTGGACCTTGCCCACTTTGATGATTTAAAAATATATACTCTTATCTAATAATGTTCGTGTTTTTTTTCATGTATCTGTTTTTTCGTGCGATTCAATTGCAATTGCTATGGTTTTTGTCGTAGGCAGTTTGATTATTATAATGATTGCTATTGGTGTTCTTCTCAAAGGAAAAGAGTTAAAAAAGGTAGGGGGTCTTGAATTATCCATTTTCTAATGTTAATGGGAGTTGTAGAAACCATACCAATTTTTTTCGGATTAATGTGGTTAAAGGGTTTTTAGATATTTCTCCATTAGTAAGAGTACCTAATTTTAATTGTGTAAATGGAACAGTTATTGATAATTTGCACTGTATCGAGGTTGGTGTTAGGAAAGCAATTTTTTTTTTCTGGTTTGATAGTTGTTATTCTGTTTCTATTTTTTCTATTTGAAGATACTGTACTGTTGTAAATAATCTTTTATCTGCAATCAGTGTAATATAATGGTATGGGGCTGTATGTTATCAAATGGTGTTGGAAATCTTGAATTTAACAAAGATACAATGAACTCGGATATGTACATTTATACTTTGAATAATAATTTGACTTCATCAGCGCGTAAATTGAGATTAAGTAGAAATTTTATATTTCAACATGACAATGATTCGAAACATGTCGAAAAAAACAACAGAATTTTTACAAATCAATTATATAAATGTTCTTGAATGGCCAGTTTAAAGTCCAGATATAAATTCTATCAAAAATTTATGGCCAATTTTAGATAAACAAATAGGTAATCGTCACTTGAAAGGAAAGGAAGAATTAGAAATTGCTGTAACAAAGGCTTGGGATAAAATATGTTCTGATATTACAAAAAAAAACAGTGGAATCTATGCCAAAACGTTTATAAAAGCTAAAGAAGGACTCACAAAATATTAATTCTACCAGAAGTCTTCTTAATAAACTATTTATGTTATGTGTCCCTTTTTTTTTTCTCCAAAGAATTTGGTCAACAAATTGATATGTTCACTTATTATATGTATACATATTATCTATTATATTACATACGATTTTTGAAAAATATAAAAAATATTCTCAAATGCATTCTTTTTAAAGAAATTATTTTATTTATTTAATTAATTACACTTTTGCCGATAAAAAAATTTTACAATCGTAATTTATAAAAAAATAATTACATGACCGGGGCTAGAAGAAGACAAATTTAGTCTTATCATTACCCCCTTCCCCCCATATTATATAATTTACTAAATAAAAAGTTATTTTTTTATGATCAAACTGGCAATTTTGATTAAAATTCGCCATTTAAAATGGTTGTCCCATTATATTTTTCCAACACTGTATACTTGTATGAAACAGTTATATTGTAATCTGAAGGCAAAAAGTGATCACTTTACATGCGGCTGTGCTTAGAAGGAATAAATGTTTCAAGTTTTATAATAACCATCCACCTTTTACAGAGTTTGTTATTATAAGTTGAAAATTTATGAAATGCTCTATTGTCACTTTTCATAGCTCTATTTGTGCAGCACAAGAATTAACCATGATTTAATATTTTTGAATAATAAATATTGAATACTATTTGATGCAAACCGGTGAGAAATGAGCTAGCGACTAGCTAGCTTTATAATGATTTTCAAGCGATTTTTTTTTTCTTATTTTATTTTTTCCGTTAA